CATTGCGTGCGTCTGTCGTGGCGCGTCTTCGTTGGTTGATATAATGGCCTATATCAACCAATTAGGAACTACTTGTAAGTGCTACAGAATATTTGTCCTTATGACAATATTCTGAGAATATAACTCTTATAGTTATATTCTATTAACAATTTCTTATAAATTGTTATGTAACGATTCACCCCGTTACAACATCCTCTTTAGGGAGGTTTGTTGATGGTCTTGCCATATCTGCGTACTTTGCACTGTACTTGTGCAAATAATTGACATAAACCGAGCCGTTTTCGCAAGTATTTTTGGTTTGACGGAACCGGCCAGTCAACAAATGACTTTACCTCAGCGGAATCGCCCGCAGGCTGCGCTTCCCAATGAGGCACCCTAGAAAGGGGAGTCTTTCAGCACCAGAAAAATCATTTTGTTGCATTTGCGTAAAACTTATTGGGGCGCAAGCACCCGAGCACTGCTTGTACTGTCCTATGTGATTATCCACATCTGAATAAGCTTGTTCCGCACGGCTATGGACAAAAAACTCGTTAAAACAGCTTTGTGCATATCCTCGGTGACGTAGGAACGACTGCTTCACGAGACTAGTATTCATTGCAGAGGCGTTAGGTAGCCCTTAAGGGGTAACGAACCACTCCTAAAGCATACCGCTTGGATACTAACCACTGTTAGCGGAATATAAATCGCTTGCATGAGCTATACATAGTGCCTATCGACAAAGTCGAGTGCACTGAACATGGTACAACCTACTATAGCTTTCTGTAGAACGTCCATTCCAGGAATAGGCGTCTGTACCGGTATAGCGGCTGCATTAAGCTTAGTAAAAACATGGACTATGCGCCACTTGTAATTTGGCTTCCTGACATGAAATGTCGGTGTCGAGTGCGGAGACTTGCTCTCATGCACCATGCCAGCCGCACGCTTTTCACGAAAGAACTTCTCTATGATGTCACACTTCTCCTTTTTCAGGGGCCGTAGCCGTGTCACAAACTATTAGGTTCCAGGCACCAGATCAATTTCACAATGTACACCTCGACCGTGAGGCAGAGTTGATGGTGGATCGTGACACACCGCATCCTGAAACGCCTTGACCAGACAATATGAAGGGGCTCTACGATATATCAATATCGATAACCCACTTCGAGTACTCAGTGTCGCCTTCTTGTCTTTTAAAACAGCCTCATTGAGCATTAACGACGAGTTCAGCTCACTATCGGATCTAATGACTACCACGTTGGATAAGTAATTGGACTATAAGGTCAGGCTAAACTCATCGACAGACGTCCAGCTCTAAGAGAGAAATTAGTGAGGGTACAGTTTCAAACTCACTTAACCATCTGTATTAACGGTCATTCCACTAACGAGTGTACGTAGCTGCTCACTAGTATCACTCAGTGACTTAAAGACGCCTTGCGTTGCATCGCAGCAATCTGGCGTCTCTGTCATCTCTGTGGCGGGACTAAACGTCCCAAAGAAACTGGAATTTTTTCGTTTTCAAGGTTGACTGCATCATCATACTTAACTGTCTTTGTACAAGAGCCGGTGTCATTACCGACATCCGGGACGTCAATGTACCCAAGATCGACATGACCGTCAACCTTCAGTTGCTCGATACCAGAGCCGATGCCATTGCCCACATCAGGACTATATTTATTCCAAGTTGACAAGCTGCGTCAACCTTAATTTGCCCAATATCAGGACCGATGTCATTACCGACATTCAAGACTACATTGTACCCAAGGTGACGCTTTTGCATCGACCTCAATTTGTTCTTTATCATACACAATGTCATTTAAGACATCTGGTGATGAGTCACTGCCAATGATATCACCACCCAGTGGGTAATTACGTGCCAATACACGCTCATCAAATGGGCGTCGCCGTTAACGACTTGGTGTTTCACCATCAATCTTGACTGACATTCAGTGTGTCGCAATCACGGCCAACATCACTCAGTGGCCACTTACGTGCCACTCCACGCTCATCAGATGGGACCAACCCATAATGACTTGTACCTAGGCCAACAACGCTTTCAGCATTTAGTGATTCGTTATCACAACGATTATCACTCGACGGACTACGTGATGTTTCACTAATAGTCAAAGAGCTTGGCTCGTTGCTAATGTTTCGCATCGTCCAGCGTAATGATGTCAGCCGTAGTGATATCCAGCTCACTAACTGTATCAGTCCGTGGCTCGCGCCAATAGCGCTTCTGTTTTCAATCAGAGGTGGGATCATAACTCTCCAAAGATCTACAAGGAACAGTGCGCGTTGCGCCTAAGGTCTTTGACCTTTTATCAATCCATGGCTCATGGTGTTCTAGCCAAGATGTACCAAGCATGAGGTCATCCTCCTTAATCAAGTGAAGGACTAGACAGCGTTCGATAATGTCAAAGTCCGAGTGCGTAACGCCTAAGTACACAGGGATTTTAGTCACAGTGAAATATGCGCCTGTCGCCAAGCGAACAGTGATAGTCTCACTCTTTTGCGCTTTCAGCGTCTCAGCATACTGCTGACTACTCTTCAGAAAACAGCGTCGGACGTAATTTCTCGACACCCCGAGTCGATCAATAACCACTATGGCTTATAAAATCCTTTCGCCAGGGCTTTTGCAACTAATAAGACTATCTTGTACTCATGCTTCGTGTCATTCCTCACGAAGCCACTTGGGGCTAGGCCCTGTTCTCCATCACCTCCCAGATGTACAACAGAGCCTACATCTTCCCCAATAGGGCGCCCCGCGCCTACTAATTTTCGACGTTTACCCATGCCTTAGCAACTCGTTGGTTAGCGACGGGAGGTCGGCTCGAACGAGCCTGTCTGGTCCTTCTCAAAGGACAATTGGGGCGAAGGTGTTTGGAGCATTCGCACGTAAAAATTTACGGATCACGAACGCTGCTCGACAGCATATAGTTCAGCTTCTTGATCTCTCTCAACGAGACTAAGATACGGGTAATGACAACCAGTCTCCTATAATTACATCTAATGAGTCTTGAAATATGTCAAACATAATTTATTTAACGGGAGTGACCTAGCCCTTTTTTTAGTGCAAACTGATCCGTCCCAAGTGCTCAGCAGACCAACAAAATTGCATTTTAAAGTGACGCGAAATTCATGTACGGGTACGCAGCTTTCTCACCGACATCGGAGTCGAAACCATGAGTAGCCAGCTCGCTACAGAACGAGCCAGTCTTAACTGATATTGACTAGCTGCTATGAGCCGGGTATGGAAAATATTGTGACCCGTTGCTAGCTCCATGTGCACATCTGAACGTTACCGATGCAGCCTTTGGCGTCCTGTGTAACGGGGCACCCTTTGTCTAGGTGCCAAGAAACTTCACGTACACTAGTACGTGCAGAGGAAGCTAATCTACTTGAACGTCTTGTTTAGATAAGGGTAAAAAGAGAACTGCATTTATATAGTTAAACTATCAATATAACTTTAATCTTTATCTAACTATACTAAACTACGTCGTCGTATGACGACAACCTGCTCACCACTCATTGCGCGCGTCTAGCAGCGATTGGTGGCAATCTATGGTTGATATGTCTTTATCAACCAATCTTGGAGCAGCGCATGAATAATATCAAAGGAGGATAACATTCCTTCAATGTTATCCATCTCGGATAATATTGGTAGAATATTGTCATGCTAGACAATATTCCTATTGACACCGTTTGGTGTCAATTTCATGTAACGACGGGCCACCCCGTTACATCCTGCTTTAGCTCTACGCCCCATGAGTAGGCCAATGTTCGCACAGTGCGATTATAGGTGGGCAGCACGGGTCGAGTACGCTCTTCTGATGTTGAATTGCAATGCTGGTGCGTGTCAGCGTACTATTCGTAGCTTTTCAGATTTTATGTGGTGCATCGCAAATGTATACCATAAAACATCGGACGTTTGGTCATGTCGACCTTTGTGGGGCTTGTTTGCTTGTGCCCCTGACCACGTGCAACATCAAATCTGCCCAGAGATCTGCACGTCTTTAGCAATTGCACCATCTTGTGACGCACGTTACCAGCTGCGAACGTTGTGATTGTAGATGTATCTCATTAACTTCACCAATACAGACACAGTGAATAGTCCGACCACCAACTACTACACCACCGTCAATCCACCTCCTTTGCTGCTAACGTTGCTCGCCAGCACTTGTGCGATGATTACATTTTTATCTCTTAAGTTCGTTCTAGTAATAATGGATCCGATGCAGCCTGCTGGCAGAAGCTCGTGTGTCGCTGGACTGGTGAGCGGGGGAAGCTAGGACGCATGCAAGGCTTCCTCGCACACAGTGCATGCAATAGTAATCGGGGCTATCCACGGTAATTATGGAACCCCTTCTTGAGACCACCCTGATGTTGTAAATTTTTAGGCTTACATGGCATAGCTGGGCTGTGAATGTATCGATAGTTTGTGATTACAATGATACAATGGTCGAGTAATGTTCACGCGGCCGCTCTCCCTAAAGACAACCTTTAGTAATTCCAGGAAACAGCCGTGAGGCATCTCCGAGCCGTAGCAATGCGGGAGTACCGGTACGAAGACACAAGGATCACACCTGCTGTTGCACCAAAGCAGAATAGCAAGACACCCCGAGAGCTGTCTCCAAGAGACAAGGTCCGTACAACCACTGGACCCGCGCGAGAGACCACGCAGTTGACTTTTTCATATTTGGTATAAGCGCCGCTGCTGACCTGGCATAGAATATGCAAGACATCCTGCACCTATTTAAGGTCAACTAGACACGTCTCTCTCTCTCTCTATCTCTCTCTCACATTACAATACACTTCTCGTAAGCTGCGCATGCAATGCAAATGGCAGACAGATATTGGAGAAGTGACATCGAGAGATAGGGTATGTTACTGACCAATCAGCGATATTGTCTATTGCGCCATTGGCCAATCAGTCTGGCAGATATGGAAATGAATCGGTGGTGAGTATCCTTTCAGTCTCAAAGATCCGCGTCGCACAGGATCACTTTCATTTGCCACTGTCCACGATGGCTGCCGAACTTTGGATGAGCTACAAGCAATGGGCGGACACCCAGGAGACGCTGTTCCTTGACTGGGCCGACCCGTCGGGACAGTACAAGCTCTCGCCTATGCAGAACCTGCCTGGCGCTGACTTCGCCACTGCCTTTGCTATCTGTGTTGCTTACGTTGCCTTCGTCGTCATTGGCACGGTGCGTTAGCCACGTCATCTTAATTTGAGAGCGTGTGACCTAATACGAACTTGCTGATTGCTTGTTCCCTCCAGTTCATGATGAAGGCAGGTATCCCTGCCATCAAGACTAGCCCTCTGCAGTTTATTTACAACCCACTGCAAGTTGTCCTTTGCTCGTACATGTGCATGGAAGCCGGTATCCTCGCCTACCGAAACGTACGTCCAACTACATACTACACAACCACAGGCTGAGACAGTCGCATCTTTGTAGAGTGTGTCGAGTAATAACTTATGCGGATCTTCTTTGAATTTTATCTGCTTTCGATTTCAGAACTACTCGGCGATGCCATGCAACGCTTTCAACGCCGAGAAGCCTGTCATGGGCAACGTGATGTACATGTTTTACTTGTCCAAGATCCTCGACTTCTTCGACACAGTCTTCATCATTCTCGGCAAGAAGTGGAAGCAGCTTTCCTTTTTGCACGTGTACCACCACCTGACTATTTTCGCGGTATGCTGTGTTTTTCTTTGCCCTTTGAGCAACCCTGGTTCGTCCTATCTAATGTTGTGCGCGCGTGTAATGCCATCAGATCTACTTTATGAACTTCCGCGTGGCCTACGACGGTGACATCTATGCTACGATCATTCTGAACGGCTTCATCCACACCATTATGTACATGTACTATTTCGTGAGCGCGCACACGCGTGACATTTGGTGGAAGAAGTATCTCACGGCCATGCAGTTGATTCAGTTCGTTACGATGAATGTCCAGGGTTACCTGATGGTGTCGCGCTCGTGTGAGAATTTCCCCCACAAGGTGCCGGTCATCTACCTCGTCTACATCCAGTCTCTCTTTTGGCTGTTCATGAACTTCTTTGTCAGATCTTACTGCTCAAAGCCGCGCAAGTCCTTTAACAAGAGGAAGACGCAATAGAAAGAAGACTCTGGTGAAGCTCGGCGCGGTCGCGACGTGTGGCCTCCAGCGTGCACTGTCCTGTCTTTTAGCGGTAAGCGTGGAAATGATGCTACATGCGAGAATTCCAGGATAAATACAACGCAGGCAAAGTGGAGAATTGCTTTGGTCGTGTTCGTGTTTCTAGTTAAAGCGCTACCATGTGTTAGACCGACGTGATGCGTACAAGCACGTGCAAGTGTCTTTTATCCCAATTGACTATCTAAACTTCACAGCAACTCTGTTATGGTAACCAAGCGGATTTCTACCCATCAGCTGATCAGGCCTCGCCAGCACTTGGTGGAAGGTCCAAATAGCAACTGCGTCGATGGTGCTAAGCTGGCCCCCGCTTGCATGTGCACAAAACCAGTACAAATGTCAAGTTTTTTGAACTTGCAAATAGTGTACGACGTGCATCACGTATCCGGAAGCTGACGAGTTACGATCCATGTTCAACTATGTATGTGCACTGGCCTGCTCCTAAAAGTCTGCACGCAAGCGTGTGCAGAATGAGGGGCTGTGTATCTATAAGTTTTGTGGAGTTGCGCACGCTTGGCGTCTGCCGTTTCGAGAGAGGAAGCTTCAGATTGTCTATTTACACGTAATGATGATGTAACATCACTGGAAAGACCTAGGTGAAGATGTAAGCGCTAGGGGCCCGAGCGCTTTCCGAAGCTGGTCCCAGTGAAAACGGCAGGTCCCTGGGCTCGAGCTAAAGCAACTCGGTGCATGCATACAGCACGACACCCCTTTACTACTGATGTAACTCTTCGATGCTCTGACTTTACTTTTGATCCGAGTTTGCACGCGCATCGAGCCCACAGACAGATTGCTCCCAACAAACTGATGGAGCTGCTCTGCAGCCAGCTGCATAACTGTCTTCCCCCAATTCCATCTTCATTCGACACATTGTTGCAAGGATGCGTCACTCTAGTCCCTCTGCGTTCGATCCCTCTACATCATCCTAAAACTGTCCGCAAGTATTTCAATGTAATACGTGGGTATCCGGTGGACTCGTCTGCGGGTACACGCGACAAGTAATTATCGTTTCGATGGAAAATAACGCTCGCTCTTTGGTCATTGCTCCACCAGCATATTTCCAAAACAGTTGTCCTCATTCCCGACATGGCATGTGCCATTCCACAGTGCTCATCAAATATGGGCGGCCGCCTCGATGCAGAGTGCGACCTGAAATCGGCCGGCAAGCAACGTGGCAGGTCATCCTTCCGTGCCCGCCTCGTTGTACCCACTGCGTCATCATCATGTTGCCGTTCGCTCACAAAATGACGACGATCAATACGACACCCGAAACCGTTTTGCGTCCCTACAATAGCGAAGATCGCTGCTGCTCTGCTTTACAAGGTACTAGTGGCGGTACTGCGCACCTCTCTTTCGAACCAGTAATCTTCGTGCTTTTACATACTGGACAAGAAAAGCGTCATGCTGGATATAAAGAGCGCGTGGACGACTGCTCCGACTCTGTATCCAAGCGACCCGTCTCTGTCCAATGAGACCTCGCACACTTTATAAACCTTCTCTAACCGATAGCTACAAACCTATCAGCCAAATCGACCATACTAAGCTTCAGTACAGCGACAAGCGGGTCGCCCATGGCGAACCGGACCTGCTGCCGCCTGAAACGTGCACTTTGAATGGCCGCCAGCCCGACTGACCACCGGGCCCTTTGCAGCCCTGCTCCCCCCCGTATCACTTCCACTTTGGCTTAGCCGCCTCGCCCATTAGACCCCCGCTCGTCACGATGGCCAGCGTCATCCTCGACAGCTACAAGCAATGGGCCAGCGGTATGGACGTCGTGCTCATGGACTGGGTCGACCCCACCCTGCGGTACCGCCAGTCTCCCATGAAAGACTACTTCTTGGCCGACTTTGGCACGGTGTTTGCGCTCTGCGTGAGCTACCTCACGTTCGTTGTAGTCGGCACGGTAAGCTCTTACTCAATCGCCTTGCCCCGTCTATAAGCTCTTGTACGAGTTCTGACCCTTCATCTGCGCTCATCTCCCGTGGTTTCGCCCCTGCAGCTCGTGATGAAGTCGGGCGTTCGTGCGCTCAACACGGCGCCTCTGCAGTTTATCTACAACCCCATCCAAGTTGTGCTGTGCTCGTACATGACTGTGGAGGCCATCCTTCAAGCCCGTCGCAACGTTCGTAGCCGTGAATGGGCTTACCTCTTGTCATTACTGTTAATTGTCATACTGAGATGATTTTGTGCTCTTACAGAACTACTCAGCCACTCCGTGCAATGCCTTCAACCACGAGAGCCCTGTCATGGGGAATCTGATGTACATCTTTTACCTGTCTAAGGTACTGGACTTCTGCGACACCTTCTTCATTGTTATGGGCAAGAAGTGGAAGCAGCTTTCAGTGCTGCACGTATATCACCACGTCTCTGTCTTCTTTGTGAGTCACTACCTGTCATATTTCCATGCTTTGACCATTTCTGCAAGAATAACTGAAATGCTTGTCTTTCCCGCTTTTTCAGTGCTACTGGGCCAACTTCCGCACATCGTACGATGGCGACCTGTACATGACTATCGTGCTCAACGGCGGCGTGCATGCAATCATGTACATGTACTACTTCGTGAGCTCGCACACACGCGAGATCTGGTGGAAACCTTACTTGACGATGGTCCAAATGATCCAGTTTTTGCTCATGAATGCGCAAGGCTACCTCATGGTGTCGCGCTCGTGCCCAGGCATGCCCTACAAGATTGCTGTCATGTACCTCATCTACGTGCAGTCGCTCTTCTGGCTCTTTATGAACTTTTTTATCGTCAACTACTGTCTGAGCTCGCGGAAGCCAAAGTTGGTTGAGGCTGAGAAGAAGGTGCTGTAGATGAGCAAGTCGAGTTGCATGGAGGACCAAATAGCATCTTGGAAGGTCGAGTGCAAGTAAAGGGGCATTGCGGCTTTGTAAACGGATGTGTCGATCCACTACAGGTCGTCCAGGCGGTCCGAGTGTATCTTTTTATCGCCAACGTAGAGTCTCCCTTTTTACCGTAATGGTAATGCTAGACATTTCTTCTTCCTATACGCAGCACGTTCTTGTTCTGTTGGCAACGTCGTGGGTCGTATCACACTCTGAATTGTCTCTCTGTCCTGACACAGACCCGATATAAGGATAGCAATCACTCGTTTGTATAGGTGGAGTGCACGATAAATGTGTGATTGATAACGCCGATGCCTACCAAGTACCAGTGGTAGAGGCGATCTCATTCCAGTGGCTAGATACGTATACGCCGTCGTTTGCTCGCATCAGATTTGCGCTGGTATTTTTCGTAAGGTGAACGGAGTATCATCGACTACTTCAGTGTAGCGGTGATTACCTGGACTAGAATCGATGATGACGATCAAAAACCATTGGTGAAGTAATAACAGAACATTTCGACCTTTTTAAATGTGCATTATTGATCAGGCATCTTGTATAAATGTTTGTCCTTCGCAGTTCTGTGAGTAAAAGGTGTGACACCGAAATTGTTATTGTCCTCATTGTAATCGTAATGATGTCCTTGTTCTTGCGCGCGAAGCACAAGAATTGCATTTGCAGCTTCACGGGTGCCTGTTTCAGGCACGAAGCTGTGGTAGAAATAGGGCTTCGTTGCGTTTCGGCTGTAGTGAAAGTGTACTCGAGTATCGGATACCTAGTCAGGGCCATTCCCACTCACCTCTATTCTTCAGAAAAACAATAAGAAGCCACTTATTGAAATGCTATATCAGAATTTTCATGGATTGCAATGTTGCAATGACAGAAGGCTGAAAACTGTAGCGTGCCCCGTTACAGTTTTTAGCTGAAAACTGTAACGGGGCACGCCCTTACCAGTTGACTGGTAAGCCTTGTGTTGACTGAACACAAGGCTACGTGCTCCCGGCGTGACGCACACGTGGCGTGAGAAAGGGCAGCGAAGTAAACAGAACGAGTAGCTCTGTTTAGGGGAAAGGAGAACTGTATTTATTTTAGTTGAGTTTTTATGTAAATTGTCTTCGTCTTGATCTAGCTATACTATACTACAATCTCCGATGTTGGTTTCTTGCTCACCACCCATTGCGCGCGTCCAGCAGCGATTGGTGGATAAAATTGGTTGATGAAGTGTCTTCACCAACCAAAATTGGAACACCCCAGAATATTACCCTCGGGGATAGTTTTCCGTCTACAACACTTTTTTGCGAGTGATGTTGATTGGAATTATTTTAAAGTAGATCATATTCAAAAATTGATGCATTTGTATGAATTTTTGTAACGAGCTCACCCCGTAACAGAAATTACATGAAAGGGAAGCAGCGCGCGTTAGAAAAGTCGCGCTTTATTACTTTTGCGCGCAGAGCTTCTGTAAAAGGGAACGGATCAGTTGTGGAATATTATCGCCCTGTGGGTTCCTCTTGTTGACAGATGCGTAGTGTTCAGTAGATGATTATTTGAATACTGCTTCTTATTGAACGTGTTAACCTGCATCTAAGTCTATTTGCTTTGCCTACCAACCATTTCAGATGTCTTGCTCACCAAATGATCTACATGCATCATCACCATCCAATCATGCTCACTTCCCTATCCTGCCCAAAAATCACAGGTTACTACGTTGGGTAAGCAGATTAATGTAGCTTGCGATAGCATACCTCCTCATCAACATTTTACTTTCAACAGCTCTGCAGTTAACGGTATTGATACATTTACAGCGATCCACTCGCAGGCGCATACTTAGTCGGCACATTCCCATTGCATCCGAGCCATTCTAAACTTATCGTTTAAACCATTGAAAGCACAAACAGAGGATATGGGTGAGTTACCGGCGGTGTGGCATTGTTGCTTGAAACGTCGCTTGACACAACGAGGCCTCAGAGACCTGTTGGAAAGCTGGATATTCAGAATAGGAAGCAGTGAATTAGCTGCACAAATTTGATCACGCAGTAGCGACGTCCTGCATGCTAGACGTGATATTAAACCTATCTAGGATCATATTATATCGTTCTGTGGATTTTTGCTGTAACGGTAGATAAACATAAAGGCTGGTACAAACTCTATTTGCGATTAGAATCTGGCATTGTCTACTTCGCCCAGGAAGCCCTATGAAAGCATGAACAGTTTCAATTGTTTTCGTAATCGGATGTTGCATGACATCGCGTGAGCATTGCGCTATGCAATCTCGTGTACCGGGTAAAGCGAGCCGTCGTAGGATACCAAATCGCAATCGGTCAGTCTATGGATAGGCGAAACATTGGGTGGCATTCTGACGTAGATTCTTGATCTACAATGGCCTCTAGTAGAATTGTTCAGGGATACTTCGTCATCGTGAAAGTGCCCTATTAAAATTGTATGACAGGAGTCGTGAACAGTTCATAACATGGCAACATCGCATAGTGATACATCGATAAATTTTTAGTTGCGTGTACAATTCGCTGTTGGCCAGATAGCTGCAGTTCGGCTCGACATTGTGACTCCGGCCTTTTGGTGAATTTAATGTACACAGCCGCTATGCATGTCACAACGGCTACGACACGAGCTGCAGCAGCAGCAATGGCAATTTTAAGCTCCGTCTGTGCCAATGAAACTCACCTTATTCAGCCGCCTTGTAGCGGCTCACTCGACACGTCAGCAACCCTCTCATCATCGTTACACGGTCGCAGATAATTCAGAGCGTTCTTTCGAGAAGCTAGTAAACCGTCTGATTATCACACGATTGTTTCTACTCTTAGAAACGTTTCTATAGACGCTTCTACTTGGCGATTGGATGAGCTGCTCGCTCTCTGAAAAAACTGCGTGGCGAGAGTGCCATACCTGAACTCGCTCTTCCTCGAGGCGATGCCGCTGCCGCTACCCACGTCCGCCCTGCAGCGCTTGGATGCACTCGCCGAGACGTACGGCACGCCACTGCAGCTCTACGACGAGCAGCTGATCCGTGAGAATGCACGCCGTTTACTGAGCGCCTTCCGCGCCCACTTTCCGGACTTCCAGCAGTTCTACGCTGTCAAGGCGCTGCCCAATCCTGCGGTCATCAAGCTGCTGCACCAGGAAGGCTGCGGCATGGACTGCAGCTCTTCGGCCGAGCTGCACATTGTCAAGGAGCTGGGCGTGTCCGGCGGCCAGGTCATTTTCACCTCCAACTTCACCGCGCAGAAGGACCTGGCCACGGCTTTTGACCAAGGCGTGATCATCAATTTGGACGACGTGTCGCTCATTGACAGTATCGTGGCTGCCAGAGGCAAGTGCCCCGATCTCATGAGCTTCCGCCTCAACCCGGGCCTTGGCCGCACGGACTCGGAGACCAAGTCGAATGTGCTGGGCGGACCCGATGCCAAGTTCGGCGTGCCTCCGTTTCAGATTGTTGAGGCTTACCGCAAGGCGCAGCAGGCTGGTGCCAAGCGCTTTGGTATTCATATGATGACCGGATCGTGTGTAATGGACCAGGAGTACTGGCACGAGACGGTCACCGTGCTTTTCAAGGCCATTGTGCAGCTAAAGAACGAGCTCGGCATCGAGTTCGAGTTTATGAACATTGGTGGAGGTCTCGGCATTCCATACCGCAAGGACCAAGATGCTGTGGATGTAGAAGCTATCGCCCAGATGCTGCGTGATGTTTTTGACGAAGCGATGAAGGAGTACAAGCTGGAGAAGCTTCCTCGTCTTTGCATGGAGAACGGTCGTTTTATGACGGGTCCGTTCGGCTGGCTGGTTACGCGTTGCGAGGCCATTAAAGAGACGTACGGTCGCTACTACGGCGTCGACGCTTGCATGGCTCACCTCATGCGTCCGGGGATGTACGGTGCCTACCACGAGATTTCGATCCCGGGACGTGAGAAAGAGGAGGTGATTACGTCGCACGTCGTGGGCACGCTGTGCGAAAACAATGACTGGTTTGCGAAAGACCGTCCTTTGCCGAAGGCTCGGGTGGGTGACCTGTTTGTTATTCACGACACAGGCGCGCACTCTCACTCGATGGGATTTCAGTATAACGGCAAGCTCCGTGCCCCTGAGGTGCTCCTGCGTGCGGACGGCAGTGAAACGCTCATGTGAGTATCGTTATCTTTGTGATATGTTGTAATGGTGGCACAGACTGATCATTTTTGATGTGTTTGTGAATGGCAGCCGTAAGCGCGAGACCTACGAGTCTCTGTACGGCAATTGTGTGATGCCCGCAGATCTGTAAAAAGGAGCCAAGGACAGTTTTGCTTGACATATACGAAGACGCACATCATTTTGTGTTTGGGCTAACGCTGAATAAAAAGCGCGACTCTGAATTTTCGAGTCCATTTGAACGGTGTCAATTTATATTTTGAAGACTGTTAATGACTGGTATAATCTGTTCGTAATGCCTCTGCTGTAGACGAGTTTTGTTTCGAGCCCGCTATTTTGCTGAACTCTCACGCCCGTCGTGGCTTAAACAAGATTGTAGTGAAGAGATCGTGTGTTGCCTGAGCAGATTCACATCGCACAAGTCGTCCAAACTTGATCTACGCAATTGGTCGCTCAGCTCACCAGCCAAGCGTAAACCACGCGAAGGCGCATGTTCCCGTCAGCTCGCCAGCGCGTCTCATGAAGCTTATCTCCTCACGACTTTGTCTGCCTGGTACACATTCCCCTGCACCTCGCACTCTCATCCAGCTATACTTATTGTGAACCTTATTACTTTGCAATAAACCCGGGCGGCCACTAACTATCTATCGGATGTTTGAGAACAGCATTTGAATACCCACGAGTGCATTATCAGCGATGGATTGATGTGGTAACCATGGGCAATGCAACAAGACTCGGACAAAAAAGCATAATCTGTCGGTTGAAACATCGGTATCTGCATCACAGGTGCTACTGACCTATCGTTTTGAGGAATACGTAAAGCATCGATTCATAGTACGGTGTCACATGTTTGTGCAGACTTTTGTAAGGTTGTCGCTCCAACAGTGGCCTTCACCAAAAGCGTGCTTCTGGTGTGCACGGTGCCTACACAGCACATGTCATCTTAAAATGCTGCACGTTTGCAATGGCAACGACCTTGCAGGCTTATAAGCGTTGCGGCGGCCATCCAGAAAGACCGACAATACACCCACCAAACAGGCTGCGAATTGGGCTTTTTTATTCTGGCTCACATGCGGATCAGCACTTCTCTTATCACTTGAATACATTACATTTGGATTCAGCGCGTGTTTGCCATTTTAGTGCCTCTTGTTGTAACGGGGTGGCCCGTTGCATGATATTGACACCAAACGGTGTCAATAGGAATATTGTCTAGCATGACAATATTCTACCAATATTATCAAATACTGAAGGAATATTTTCCTCCTTTGATATTATTCATGCGCTGATCCAAGATGGTTGAAATAAGACATATCGACCATAGATTGCCACCCATCGCTGCTAGACGCGCGCAATGAGTGGTGAGCAGGTTGTCGTCATACGACGGCGTAGTTAAATATAGTTAGATAAAGATTAAAGCTGTATTGATAGCTTAACTATATTAACCACAGTTCTCTTTTTGCCTTCACTTGAACGAGTCGTTCAAGTAGATTAGCTTCTCTGCACATACTGGTGTACGTGAAATTTCGCGGCACCCCAAACACAGGGTGCCCCGTTACACCTGGTAACACTTTGTAGTCCGTCCAACGACTAATTAGTGTCCGTGCAACATGGACATGTTAAGCGTAGAAGACGACAGCTTTCACGTCACACGTGAAGGCTACTCCCACCCGAGTGACTCAGAATGGGAGGTAGTCAGCCGCATGAGTGTGCTCATGGGCGAACCGGCCATCTGTGGTATGTTGGAGTCTTTAAGCAGAGACTAGCAACACGCTGCTATCAACAAGTTCCTACAAGGGGAACTTGCCGTCGAAAGACAGAAGATAGCATTGCCACAGCAGCAAGGCTCTCATCAGTTTGTGGGCGGGCCGACGCACATGTGTCGACTTGGAACCTTGAATATAGATATCTCAAGGTACAAGAGATCCGATGAAGATTCCCTTTTGAGATGGTTCGTCGAGTTAGACGACACCATCAAGGCCCGTCACATCGAGGGTGACGAGATGCAAGTCGCCTTCGCCCTGTCAAACTTGACGGGACGAGCAAATACTTGGGCCTTAGGGCTCAAGCTTCACAACCAAAATGTGCTTGAGTCGTTAGAGACCTTGGAGTATCGGCTCAAAGAAACGTTTGAGCCGCCGAGAGCCGAGTTCAGAGCACGCTCTGCACTCCTGAGGCTCAAGCAGGGTAAGCGTGATGTGCATACTTACGCACAACACCTACGCTGTCTTGCCAGTATTGTCACGGAATACCCTGTTGATGAACACACGCTTATCAACGTGTTCATCTACGGCCTTGTAGATGGGCCGGTGAAGGCCTACATGTTCCGAGAGGACTTCCATACGCTGGAAAAGGCGATAGAGCATGCGGAACAAGAAAACTTCAGCATGAGACAGTCTCAGGCTAACTCGTCAAACTATCGTCCGACGAGGCGAAAGAAAACAGGAGGTCCTGAGCCAATGGACCTTTGTTACATCGAGATCAAGAACTCTCGCTCTCTGCGTCACAAGTGAACAACAAGATGCCATCGCTGACAGAACATTGGACACTACGCTCATGAGTGTAGTGTCCCGAGTACTGCAACACGTCAAAAGAAAGGACGTGATGACCATCGTTGGCGAAGGAAGGGTACGAGGCTTGGGTCCGACCATGTCGCTAAACCGCGACAGCAAGTCGGACCGACATAAAACGGTCAGGGTCAGTTGGGGCGGAACACCCTGCTGATCCAGCAACGTCAATAGAATTTGTAGGCCTCTTGATGAAGATTGCTCACAACACACAGTCTCTGCGTGTTACTGCCCCTAGTGATGAGGTGTTCCTCATCACTTTGAAGATCGAAGTGACAAGTGGAATGTCACTTTGCGCCCTAGTTGACTGTGGGGCGTCTTACAGTTTTATTCGACGCCAGTCGATAGAAGATAGTAGACTCAAATATGTTGAGCGAGAGATCCCTCCAGCGAGGATGACGGTGTGCCTTGCTACAGGCGCATCCGTAACAGTGAACAAACGTGTAGTGGATTCCCACTGCACGCTAGAAGGAAATTAGTACGATGCTGACTTTATCGTATTGGATTTGGATGACAAATTTGATGTCATCCTCGGTCTTCCATGGCTTACAAAATACTAGCCATGGACCAGCTGGCAGCATAGATCTGTGAAGATGCCTGCCGTTTGTTCATCAGATGTCCATCTGATGAACGTCTTGGAGCGTCCACAGGCGTGTGGATGTACTAAGATTGAGTTTAATGTCCTCACTTGTGGTACGGTCGTTAGTAGACTGCACAAGATGACAGTGTAGAAGGCCACTACACTGTGGAACCAGCTTCCGGCACCTGTGTAGAGAAAGAGGCTGCGCCGAAGGCTTATAACTTTAAAAAACGAGTGGATTGGGACACGGATGAACACCAAGAAGGGTGCATCCGGGAAGAGAGATTAGTGCTGTTCAGGATGAGCAAAATTTCACAGCGATATCAACTAACAGAGAGGCGATCGAAGAGGAAGTGAATGTGGTAGTACACCCACAGTCAGCAAACTTATTGTAAGAAAGTTTAAGCATTCCTGAGAGTGATAACTCTCGAGAGAGATATGTCGAGGGTGTGGTTCCATAACCACCGGTGACGTTATTTTCTCAGGACATCACCGAGACAGTGAATGTTTTGGTGAATGACGGATCAAGTGCAGGCGCTTATACACTTGATCTGGTTACACACCCAAAGTTGACTTCGGAGGTAGTCAAGTTGCCAACGCTAGAATCTAAAAGATTCTTGCGAGATCTGCGTAGTGACAAGATCAAGCAAATTTGCGCACTGGTCACAGGGGACGTGTACGTCGCCGATATTCGTTCGTCACAAGTGTTTACTGAGAACGAACGAGTTCTCAGTAGCTCATCGATCGTTGAGAGTGTCCTCCATGAGAAGACCCAAATTGAGCGATGCACGTTTCAATCTTGGGAGTCTTTGAAGACAAATTCTGTGTATAAGGATTTGGTGGAATTCAGGGATGTTTTTCCGAAATCCGTGCCATGCGAGCTGCCCAAAGACAAAGGCACTCGGCATCAGATCGAACTGAAACATGGTTTGAAAAAAATGTGTCATGAAGCAGTGGCCCATGCCTCGTGAGCAGGTCACAACGATCGACAAAGTTTTTGCCGATCGTTTAGCGGCTTGTAAATTGGGGGAAAATTAACATCCCCGCACAGCTCTCCGACCTCCTGTGTGCAAAGGCCACAGAGGGTGGCGGATAGTGCACGCGTTCAACAAATTGAACACTGCAACGGTACTGGCTCAAACGCCGGTACCAAGGAAGGACTTCATCATATATGGTATCGCAAAAAGTACAATCTTTTCGTCCATGGATCTGATGGATGGACCTCATGCGTGAAAGGGACATCCCGTATACAGCAGTGAAAACCCCCAGTGGTATGCTCTGGGAGTGGTTAGTGATGCCAAAGGGGCTAAGTAACGCCCCTGCAACGTTCAACAGATGTGTTACGAAACTGTTGCGATCGGTGCGACATTTTTCACCGAGTTACTCCGACGATGCCTTCGTCCAAATCCGGGCTAAGAATGGAAAGACGGACGTGGAGGTTCATAAAATCCACGTCCGGAAGGTTCTTACACTTTTGCGAGAGCATAAGTTGCTCGCGAACCTTTAGAAGTGTATATTTGCAGCGGACGAAATACCACTTCTTGACTGCATCGTGGGTAAAAACGGTGTACGCCCTGATCCGGAAAATATCATGGCGATTAGCGACTGGCCTGTGCCAGTCGGCGTCAAGGGACTTCGAAAGTTCCTTGGCTTGGCAGCGTATTTGCACAAATACTCGCGCAACTATGCCGAGATGACTGTACATCTCTCTCGTCGATTAAAGAAAAACGAGAGGTGGTCATGGAGCTGAGTGTCAGCACTCATTTGAAGGCATTAAGAAAAGCTTGGTGCAATCGCCTGTGTTGGCGATTGCAGATCAGGATAGACCACTTCATGTGGACTGTGACGCCAGCGATTTTGCAATCGGCTGCGCTTCAATGCAGTACAACTCAGACAGCGTTGAGCGCGTCGTCTGTTTTAATCGCGTCAGCTGCAAGCAGCTGAGCGTAATTACCCGTGCGTGACAAGGAACTCCTTGCCATGGAATATGCACTGGCTAAGTTTTGGGTAAATCTGTTAGGAGATAGTCCCTTCATCGTTTATACCGACTATGCGTCGTTACGCACGGCCGTAAACAGCCCACACCTCTCGCAACGAATGGAAAGGTGGATGTCTTTCTTCGCGGAGTACAACTTCTTTGTCGAGCGTTAACCAGGATAATCTAATGTCGTCGTTGATGCTCTTTCGCGTCGGCCCGATTTCGAGCCTCCTGCTCAACCCAGCAGTAGGGGTGATCCCACTGTTTTGACACTGATAGTGAGTGTTCCATAGTCTAATTTGCTCGACGACGTGCCGAAGGCATACGCAGAAGATGAGTCTCTTTTGCGTTTAATGGATTACGTGTCGAATCCATGCCGTCAAGATTTGAAAAGCTTGACGTCTTAAAACCGCTCTTCATCTGAACGTTATTTTGTTCGTGATGGACTGTTGTACCATACAGCAGCCAACGGCGACATACCTCGTGTCGTCGTTCCCGCTCATAATGATTTGTGATTGCGCATCGTTTATGAGTGTCACGATGCCCCACCGAGCGGGAATCGCGGTAGAGAAAAGACTTACCTCACGGTAAGTCGTGACTTCTACTGGCCCCGCCAGTATGAGTCTGTGCGCAAGTACATTTGCGCTTGCAAATTTGGTTGACTGGTGAAGCCTAGTCCTTCATCCCGTGTACCCTTGCAGCCTCTACCGATCCCGGCAGAGTTCTGGCAGTCCGTATCGATGGACTTCGTCGTTGGGTTTTTCTAAAGACGCTCACAAGAATACTGGTATTCTTGTGTTTGTTGATAAGTTCAGCAAGATGGTACACCTTATTGCTGTACTGGAGTCAATCACAGCCCAGGGCTGTGCTCCTGTATTCATCGATACTATCTTCCGACTTAACGGTTTACCCCGTAAACTCGTGTCTAAAAAGGATCCCCGCTTCGCAGCGGAGTTCTGGAAATCCGTGTTCCGTTCACTTGGAACACGTTTGACGATGTCAACTTCTGGCCATTCAGAAACAGATGGTCAGACGGGACGCGTCAACCGCGTCCTCGAAGATACTTTAAGAATATGTCCACTCGTTAACGAGCTGGAGTGAGTTCTTGCCGATGGCGGAATTCGCCATCAACAACTCGGTGCATGCGTCGACAGCGCATACACCATTCTTCGTGAACGGCCTGCGCCGCCCACGGTTAACCGTTTTCTTAGAGTGTGACTCTAGTATAAGGAAAGGACTCGCTCGAACAAAAACCGATCTGTTTCTTGCTTATCACCCGTCGACAATGGTGTCGACGTGATCGATGCCGATGTCGATGCGATCGATATCGATGATGATAATGACGACGATGATGGTATATTCAGCATCGCCAATGACCGCCATAGTGAGGACGATGATACCCTCACTGGTGAAGACAAAGTTCTTTCAGCAGTGCATACGAAGCGCACTGCTGTTTACAAGGATAAATCAGCAGAAGAATTTCTGCTGACTCGAGAAGCGGTTGTCCGCTTCTTCAAGACTCTAATGCAGATGCAATAGACAGACAGAAGAGAAACGCAGACAAACATAGAAGAGCGAATGTGCTTTCATTTGATGAAGGAGACCTAGTGTTACCGTCTACAGTAAATCTACCGAAACACGCAGTGACAAACTTGGGCAGCAGTAAATTACTGCCCAAGTATTTCGGTCCATTTCGTGTGTTGCGCCGAATGGGCAACGCATACACGATTGAACTGCCTTGTAAGATGCGTGCGCATCTTACGTTTTACTTTGGGCGTCTCCGCCCGTACTATCATTACGAGCCCGTCTCGAGAGGCGAAGAACACCTCCGCGATTAAGGGCTGAGACCACCTTCGAGTGGTCCCGTTTCAACGATCCAGTCTGGTCGACTGGCGAAGCGACCTGCTCAAGCAGTTGAGCGATGTCTCGACGAGATACAGCCAGCTCGTCACGAAGAGAACGAGTCGAACTTTCGTTCTCAAGTTGCGCAAACGCAAAAGCGGCACGATCGTCCGAACGATCGTGCGTTAGGGAATAGTAATTACCCTTTATTAGATCTTTAAGCCCATAACGCCGAGTCCGTTCGTGAGCCAGGTCATCTTGCAACTGTTCCGTTAGACGGTTCAGCTCTTGAACATCAACATGATCCGACCCTCGAGCTGGATCAGATGTTTCCGCCTCCACCTCATCCTTTGGTGGACTCAAGCAGTGGTCAACGCTTCCTAGTGGCGCGCGTATTAAACCACCGCGATGTGAATGGCGTCCGGACTAGCTACCTCGTCCGCCGGCGTGGCGTGGGACAGCTGGGAGCCTCGTGCCCAGCCGATCGGTGATGTTCCAAGTCTCGTCGAGCAGTATGACGAGGCCCACCCGCTGCGTTCGAAGAAAGGCCGTCGGAAAACGACCTCTTCGAACGCGAGTACAGGGATTGCAAAGTGTCAATACCTTCGGCCATCTCGGAAGAGATGCGCGCCGTCCAGTAGGGATCATTAGGGAGGTAAGCCTCCCTAGGGGCACATTTTGAGTCGTCCAGACAACTTGTACACGAATCACCCCACGAGAGACAGGGTAATCCTGCCTCTCTTAAAAGCCGGTACACTTTTATCGTACATTGACTGGGTTACGCTTGTTAGACCTGATGCAAGCTGCCACAAGTTTACCGAGCCTCACGGCCAATACACTTGATGTTATGGATGAGGTCATTCCATCCTTGCACCAAGGCTTTGCTGTCTCGAACACGGCTACCATCGTACTACCGATGTTTGAAAAACGCATCGGCGTAGAACTCTGTCTCAGCACGGATAGTTTCCGTGCTAGAATTAGGAGGACAGATCCTCTTACAGTCGAACAACGGAATTTGATCCCGTTTGGTGCTCATACCGGCCACTCGATCTAACTCTTTGGATGACGGCATCCAAGGAGACTTCTCTTGAGGAGCATGGCGCAGGAAATTTCGGTCCCTGTCCTTTTGATTGGTGTCAGCATGAGCACTGACACCAGTGGCAGCTCGATCTCTCGATTTGCTTGTCTCGTGGTGATGCTTAGGGGCATCACCACCATCACCACGCGGCCTATCGTCGGCCGAACCTGCGTGAGACGAGGATTCTTCAGAAGAATCGCTCGGTCCGAAGATCTCGGACTTGATGCTGCCACGTTCCCCAGAGCCAGTCAACATGGCTCTTGCAGTGTCCATAGCGAATGATTCGGAGGCATGAGGTGTCGCCTTCGAGTCGGATGCATCGTCCGACTCGCCAGAATAGATGAGCTCTATTTCAAACTCATCTACATTGCGAATAGCAGTAGCCGCTGCAGACGCAGCGGATGTACCTGTCGCACGTGGTGACTCACCACGTGGACTGTTCACAACAGGCACCGCCTGTTGCTAAATCGCAACAGCAGGCGAGGGAACACCTGCTGCTGAAGCAAGAGAAGAACTCTCTTCGGCTGCACGCATGCGTGCAACCGCTTTTCTTGCTGCTTCAGCAGCGCATCGCATGGACTTTGACACCATGCGATAAATCGACAAATGAGTTGAAAATCTGACCGACAAGTGCTTCCCTTCCCAGAGTGATCTAACGCTGATCACCCTGTCGCGATCAATAAACTCAATCAACGGATGATTGATGGTTAAAGGGGGGGGTGATGTGGCGGGGTAGCCCGTTACATGATATTGACACCACAACGGTGTCAATAGGGATATTGTCTAGCATGACAATATCTACCAATATTACCCGAGATGGATAATATTGAAGGAATATCATTCCCTATGTAGGATACTATTCATGCACTGCTCCAAGATTGGTTGATACAAGACATATCAACCATAGAATACCACCAATCGCTGCTAGACGCGCGTAATGAGTGGTGAACAGGTTATCGTCATACGGCAATGAAGAATTAATTAGAGTTAGAAAAAGATTGAAGTTATATTGATAGCTCAACTATATCAGATACAGTTCTGTTTTTTCCCTTTCACCCAAACTAGCTGTTTGAGTAGATTAGCTTCCTCTGCACGTACTAGTGTACGTGAAGTATCGTGGCACCCCAAACAAAGGGTGCCCCGTTACGTGTACCGTGTGATTCTAATACATTGAACACTACAAGACGCTTGTTGACGATTCCTACATTCTGCTTGCAGAACAATGGAATGTAGCAGTATAACGTGCTTTTGTAGTCAAACCGTTGGAAGGCAATCAAGAAGTTTCACGCTTGTCAAAGCAGCACGGACCTTTTTAGAAATTGGCTGGTCAGTCAATATAAAAAGGTACTCGGGATTGCAAATCACAACACGCGCTGATACAGGCCAGTCCGCTACGCCACTAGACGTGGAGCAACAGTAGACAGTCTGAAGGAACGACTGTTCTACAAGGAGGAGTACAGTCGCTGGTGAAAACTGCAGCTGGTTCACGGCTCTCACATCGCAGCGATTGCGTCCTTCATATCCCCTTTATAACCTTGACAATTCTGCAACCTACTGAAAAGGCGTCATCCTCTTGCGCATGTTTCTGCTTCGGCGTCTTCAGGGTCCCACTGCAATGATCACATTGCCTATTGGTGTGTTGAGCGATATAGAAGTCGACCTATTTTATGCCTAGACAAATGTGCATAGTGTATTCTTGAGGGGTAAGCAGTGTTGTACATTGTTGCTTGCCAGCTGTATCTGCAGCCTCATACTCCTGCCAGCGCTGCGGATGCTCATACCACTGGTGCTAATGACAGCAATTTGGTCTAGCTGGCGCCACAAAACTATTCGCGGCCGAAGCAACATGTCCAAGTGTGCTACGGAACGAGCTAATGCGTTGAACCGCCCGGACGCCAAACTGCACACCATGATTTTTGGTAAGGTCTCGTACGCTACAGTGATACCATCAGTGTAAGGGGCAGTATCCAGCATTTGTGGGTGTAAAGAGCTTTCCAGGCTGCCTTGCTGATGGTTTGCGGTTGAGTGTACGAGGTCGTGATAGGACGTAGACTTCGTGTTGGTCGGAGGAAACAGAGGATGGAGACACCAGGGTCACTATAGTCGATGAGGGTGCTGGAAACAAAGAAAACATAGAGACGAAGGGAAATGTTGAGGCACAAAGGCTCAAATGAATAGATCGGAATGGTCGGACACTCTCTAGTCCGCGTCCTTTGCTGTTCTTGCTTGCGTAAGGTCTTCCTGAGGCTCCGGATAGGGACCAAATTCCATTCGTAAAAGAGATCTGCGTGTAAATAGCAGTCAGTAACATGCTTTGCTTTTGCGAGCAAGCATGTATTGCGATTATAAAGCCTTTTGCGCGGCATTATCTACCACCGCGACCATCATGTACAGAAAGACCGTCGCCGGAAGAGCTGCCCAGGCTTCCCACTTTTGGTCATATTAACTGTAGCGGTTTTTGGACACGCTAGCAATGCCTCCCTTACCATTTGCCAGACCATCGGTGCTAACTTTTCTTTCTTCGAATGTGCAGAGTAATCTGGATTTTACGATAGAAGTCACAAGAATGATTCTATATCTCGGGCTTCACCACCTTTGTCGTGTACGCCTCGAGCACATCGCCAGGTTGAAAGTCGTCCGTGCCCACAAGCTGAAGTCCACACTCCTGACCCTTGTTCAGTTCCGATACCTTTTGCTGGAAGTGACGCATGGACGCCATGTCCACATTTTCGACAATTGTATCACCGTCACGCACCAGTCGGTACTTTGCCTGCATGTTAAGTGAGCCGAAGGTGACCTTGCAACCCGCGATGTTAGTACTGCGCGTTGCCGACGTGGAGATAGGAATGGACTGAATCACTTCCGCTTGGCCGACCACTTCATGCACAACCACACCCTTGAGATTTTCCTGCAACAGTTCCTTGATATCGTCCAGCAAACTATACACTACTCGATGTCGACGCAGGGTCACCTCCTTCTGCAATGCCTCTTGATCGATAGAGGCAGCATGGTTGATATTGAATGAGTAGATAGTAGAACCGGTAGCTTGAGCCATTGCAAGGTCAGAAGACGTGACGGGCCCAACAGCAGACATGATACACTTTATCGCTGCCTCATCGCTCGGTAAGGATGCAATGAGCTCGTCGATAGCGGACATAACTCCAACCGAGTCCGTTTTGACAATTATTGGAACCACATTCGCAATGTACCCTTCGTCCCCAGGTCCAAGCGCTGCAACGCGCTTGGCTTCCTCAACAGCCTCGCGTCGTCTTATTTCCACTTGCTCCCACTTTCGACGCGCACCTCCAAAACGGCGACGGCGCGTCAGCGTACCGTCATCACTCTGGGCCTCCACTTCTTCGTCATCGGCCTTCGCCATTTGGTCCCAGTCGAGCATGGCCTGACGCGCTGCCACGACTTCCTTAGCACGATCTTCGGTGGGTACGGACAGCAAAGCGATACCACCTTCAGGCAATCCCTTCAATCCAATTACTCTCACGGGGTGGCCAGGAGCCACTTGCTTCACACGTTTACCCGCCTGGTCGACGAGAGCACGAACTTTTCCGTACTCTAGTCCGGACACAACAAATGAACCCTGCTTGAGCGTGCCCCACTTCACAATTGCATCTACTTGAGTGCCGACGCCTCGTGCCACACTTGCCTCGAGAACAATAGCCTCACCCGCTACATCAGTGTCAGCACGTAGATCCAGCATTTCAGCGTGGAGAGCGATAGTTTCCTTAAGCTGGTCAAGTCCCTCGCCCGTTTTGCCTGACACACATACCATAGGCGTTTCTCCTCCCATACCCTCAACTACGATTCCCTGCTTCAACAACTCGGTTCCAAGACGATTGGTGACCTCATTCTTGTCATGTTCGTGCATGTCCATCTTCGTGACTACCACCACAAGCGGCACGTTGTTTTTAAGTGCCAGACGTGCAACTTCCACAGTCTGAGGGCGCACACCGTCGTCTGCAGCTACTACGAGAACGAGCAAATCGGTGAGCTCTGAGCCACGTGACCGCATGTTGCTGAATGCCGCGTGACCAGGTGTGTCAATAAACGTGACCTTCGAGTGTGACTTGAACTTCTTGCCCAGATCCACCGAAAATGCACCAATCCGCTGTGTGATGCCACCGGCTTCAGTGTCCACAACGTTCGACTTTCGCAAGGCGTCCAGGAGCGTAGTTTTCCCGTGATCCACGTGGCCCATCACCGACACAATAGGTGGTCGAACTGGAAAAGGGGAGCAATCCGCCGGCGGCGATGTCAGCTCTAGATCGACAAATTCAGGCGGAAGCAAGACCGGAATCATGTTCTGCGAGTCGACCACCAGCTCTGCAATGTCACTAGTTACCATTGAATCTTCACTTAATCCATTTTCACCCAAATCCTTGAGCGCGCGAAAGACCACGCGCGTCTTTACACTCATGCGCTCAGCAAGATCTTTAACCGTAAGTGACGTCGGGATCTCGACTTCCTGAACAGGCACTACTTGCTTCGGCTTGCGCTTGGCTTCCTTCCGCTGTTGTCTCTGAGAGCGTCGTTGTTCGCGGTCGTCAGGATCTTCCCAATTCACGTCCCCGAACAGATCCAATGTCGAGTCAAAAATGCTATTTTCAAACTGGAAATTCTTCAGCAAGTTGCGCGTTCCTTTCTTCCGCTTCGTGTTCAGCTTGATCGCCTTTCGGCTGCCGGCCACAGCCGTTACTTTTGTGCGATAATCTCCATCTCCAGCTGACGGGATTCCTAGTGCCGCCAAGACCATGGACGGATCGTTCTCATCCGAGAACAATTTAAACTTTCGCGGCTTCGGACGCTCGCGCGATTGTCTCTTCAGAAACGTCTCTTCACCATCATCTTCAGTGTCCAATCCCAATTGAGCCAAACTGAGCTCCAGACTTTCCTCCTCCTTGCTAGCAGCTCCAATAGCCCCCAGAAGTTCAAGTGATGACGCATGTTTCTTGTCCACAAGGTGCGGCTTTGGCGGCAGCTTTTTTGACTGCTCGCTGCCCACGTCTTCGAACGCGAAACTCAACAAGTTCTGGAATTTGTTCGTGAACACAAGCGGATCCTTCGGAGCTTTCCGCTTAGCGCGTCGCTTCTTCTCGTCCACCTGCTGCTTGAACTCCCACTTGGAATTCGGTTCATCCATCGGCGACTGGCGTGTGTTGCCTCGAGCGTCATTGCGCACTCGTGAATTAGGGGTTGGAGAATATATACCAAAGTGACGAGGTAGGCTGAAAGGAGTACGCTCAAGGAACGGCAGGGATCGACGTCGCAACGTCCACTGACCTGCCATACTTCTCTTCTGGTCAAGTTAGTGACTGGTGGTGTGGTGTTCAACACACTGCTTTGCTCTCATCTATATACGACTGTGCTTACCGTTAGAATTACGACTTGCTGAATTGATATGTTGCAATCATACACAGACATGGCAAAACCTTTGTTGGAAAAAATACGATAAAGTATGAGAGTCAGCAGCGCCAGTCTCCAGACTCGAGTCGACTGACTTGTCACGCGTGGCGGACGTCTTCAATCGAAGCTTCAAGTGTCGCCCGTGCTGCTCGACGACCGTAACGCCGTTCTATTCAAGCCTAGTATGCACATAAAGAAGACCTTGTGTGCTTCTTACGTCTACATCGGCCAATCCCTTGCTGGTTGTGGAGGAGGGAAGACTGTAAAGCGCCCAGTCAGTAGCAGTCCGCGTCCTTCTTCTTCCAGCAGTGGCAAAAGCAGCAGCAGCAGAAGGGAAAGTTTTGCTGCATTCAGTGTGCACAAAAGCGACAGCGAAGACGGATCTCCGTCACCCCCGGCAAACAACATAAGCAGCAGTGGTGGCGACGACCAAAAAGAGAAGAGAGACGACGAGGAAGACCGAGATCATGGTGACTCAAGTAGCAGTAGTGACAGCTCTTCTGACGAGAGTGATATCGGAAATGACGACTGTCGGGTTGCAATGGACGCGGACGAAGTAAAAGACAATGGGATTGATCCGACAGACGACGACATGAGCGGAGAGAGCGACGGGAGCTCGGATCTGGAAAATGCGTATCCACGGCTTCCTTCAGCACCGGTGGATATGCTGATTGATTATCGACAGCAGGCAGCACACAAGGAGTTGCAACTGACAGATAAGATGAAGCAACAGGTGATAGCAGACGCCAGACAGCGTTATCATGAGCGGCTACGGGCACATCGCTCGAAGAAAAAGACACCGACATTGCAGATAAACCAGCAACACTCCCAGAGTGATCAGGCGACTAACGGAATGAAGCACAGGGAAAGACGTCGTGAAAGCGTCAGCACTGAGGTGACGGTGGCTCGACACGGACAGAGGCAAGTAGAAGACGAGTGGTTAGTAGACTGCTCCTGTGGTCTAAAGAGGAAAAATTACGACGACGGAACCTTCATGATCCAATGCGATATCTGTATGCATTGGGTGCATGCCAAGTGTGCAGATAAGCTGCCCGAGGCGGTAGCGCAGGAGAATTTCGTGTGCTTCCGCTGTTGCTGGATGTTTGATTGTGTGTGTTCCGTCCGTCATCAGCCCAACCACGACGACGGCCAGCGCATGGTGGAATGCACAACCTGCAATACATGGCAGCACACAATATGTGTTGGTATACCGGAGACCGAGGAGCCAGCCGACGACTATTGGTGTCCACGCTGTTTGAAGAAGGCACGCCGGCGCAAATCAGATTCAAAGGAAAGTAGTAGCCGTGATCGACGTCGAAGACGAAGTTGTGCGGAATCACAGCGACATTCTTGGAAGCGTGCTCATCCATTTCGTGCAGGTTCGGTGGACATGTGGTCTTCGGCTCGTTCACAAGACAATTTGGAGTCGACAACTCGTTCACACAGGAGCAGACATGCTGAGGTGCAGGGGTCACAGAAGGAAGCACCGGCTGCTCTCGTGGTTTCGTTACCTTCTGTTTTAGCCGCCTCTCCTCCGTCTACTCCTCCTCCTCCACCATCATCGCCTCCACCTTTGAGGTCTGCAAAGTATGATGTCAGTAACGGGCACACCAAGCAACGAAGCCGGAGAGAGAAGAAACGTTTATCTGCGTCGACCATCTCTTCGCGTCGAAAGCGCGGTCACTCTCTCGGTAGCAGCTTAACGAAGACACACACGGAAGCAAGCGAAAGGGAGCGTCATTCTTCACCCCCAGATGTTGCAACGCCTTCGGCAAGAGGTAAAGGGCTCATGCTTCGAGGGTACTCTCCCGCTGCTGCAAATACGGGTGCCTCCTTTTCGCGGTCCGAGACTGTTCGCCCTCCACTTCCACTCACGCCGTCGTCCAGTGGTGCAGGCTGTGAGAATAGCCACAACAACCACAGCCATGTTGATCGCAAACGCAAGGTGAGCTCTGCACGAGACCGACTAGAAAAGAAGCTGAAAATACGGAAGTCTTCTATGCGTTGAGACCACCTTTTTTTGAACAAGAAAGCTGTGGCGATGGGAACGCAGCGCACAGGGAACACTTGAAGAGCAGGACCAGGAGTTCTATCGAAGGAACGGGATCGGGTGCGATACCGTGGGCACGTTTATTCGGTACGTTGTGGAGCGCGCGCCATAATATATCAAATGTATCTAACAGTTTTTTTGAATTGTATCACTGCTCTGTCAAATCATGAGCAATCCGTTTGCAATATCGCCCACTTTCTCACAGGAATGCACTCAAGTGTTGCGTCTGACAACTATTTTTCATTGGAAAACAGACAGACCACACAAGCTCTGCCGGATTTACTGAAGTCGGGTAACCAGAAAGATATTGTGAGTGTTCCCGGAAATAAATGCACAAAGACGTAGGAACTACAAAAGCCAATATTTCTAAGGGGCTATTAACCATTGCTGTTAGCATGTTTTTAATGTAACTAGATCCAGTAGGCACTTTAAGCGGACCGACAAGATGTTTCTGTATCGACCATAGGATGCCCTTCTCCCAGCGTATCTCTAAGAAACATAACAAGATTGTAACGGGGCACCCTGAAGCTTGTACTGGTGACAGTACAAGCTACTTATTCTGATAACAGAATAAGGCGGTGCCTCGTAACTTCACGTACACTCGTACGTGCAGAGGAAGACGGTAAGAAGAAGCGAGTACTCGGTTAGAGTAAAAAGTAGAACTGTATTTATAATAGTTAATGTCTGCAATAAATCACTATTTATCTTCATCTAACTATGTCTAAATACAAATGTGTAAATCAGTTATCTGCTCACCACTCATTGCGTGCGTCTGTCGTGGCGCGTCTTCGTTGGTTGATATAATGGCCTATATCAACCAATTAGGAACTACTTGGAAGTGCTACCGAATATTGTCCTTATGACAATATTCTGAGAATATAACTCTTATAGTTATATTCTATTAACAATTTCTTATAAATTGTTATGTAACGATTCACCCCGTTACATCACCCCCCTTAACCATCAGTCACTTTAGTGACTGATTGACTAAATGGATACTCGTCCCAAATCATTTGGGACGGGGTTTGCACTTGTTGGTCCGCGTCCACTTTCCAACATCTCATCGCATGGTAAACAAGCCCATGCGATGCGCGAGCAAGGCCGCCGAGAGCGCGTCTGCACGTCTCTGTGCGGACGCCGAAGCAGAAACTACAGCAACTGATGTCCCATCGGTTGCTGAATCGACTCAGCCTGTATCACCTGGTGATGCAGGCGCTGGTCATGAAGACACTCGTGTCTTCACAGAGTACGAGCTCGGTGTCTCGTACTCTCCTGATACGGATGACGGATCCGTATCGACGGCAATTGAATCCAAGCCGCCTGCCAAGCGTGGCATGGACGATGCTTTGCGTCGCAGCATCTTTGGTTCATCTGACTCATCAGATGAACCATCGCCGAAGCGAAGGCGCTCGAGGTCGCGAGACTCGGGCGCTAATAGTGGTGTCGTTTCTCCAATGGACACCACTTCACAGCGAGGTGCCAGTACTTCTGTCGGCACGTCGCAGGAAGAGCGGGACCGCAATGTGTTGCGTCTCGCTCCAGAAAAGAAGGCATGGATGCCTCCTAAATCTGTCATGGATCACTTGTCGGCGACGACGAGTGATCGTTATCGAACACGATTGTTCGATTCGTCAAGGATTCATCACCTTGACCCCAGCGCGAAAGACTATCGCGCTGAACATGAGTTCTTCATCGATGCTTTCTTCAGACATCGATGGTACAGTGGGAATCACAAACGTGATGGTCCCTCACTACTTCAGGCGTGGAACGCCTACATCCATAATCTCGAGGATGTAGGTCGTGACGCTTGGAACGACAAACTTATCAAAGCTCGTGATAAGTTTGAAAAGCGAACCCCGACAGGTGCACGCTACAAGCTGCATCGTCTGTCAAGGGAGAAAGGATTACCCTGCCTCTCTTGGGGAGACTCGTGCCCATGTTGTGTGAACAACTCTGCACGAGCACCTAAGGAGGCTTACCTCCTTACCAGCCCGTGGTGGCGCGTACGTGTCTCTACTGAGATGTACGAAGGGATTGACAACCTGAAATCCCTTTACGACCGTGCCGGGAAGACTTTCTCCGGCGGTCCTTCTGCGGCACAGGATGTGTCGCGTCGTACTGCTCGACCAGACCCAGTACGTCAACCATCAATTGGGAGCGGGGCTCCCAAGAATCCCAGGACGGGGGATAGCCGCGCCACCGGACGAGGTAACTCGTCCGACGTCCGTTCACGTCGCGGTGGTTCAACAGCTGCTCTACTAGATAGCGCTGGCCACCGCGAGAGTCCTCTAATGGAGGTGGAGGAGGAGGAAAGACGCTCTCCACACGATCATGTGGATCGGTGTGTTCCCGAGAGCTTCTTTGATCGCGTAACGCAAGGGTTACGCGACGATCTCGAGCATGAGCGGAATAGGCGTCTCCAGATGGTGGACACTGCCTCGAAGCATCGAGCTGAGTTTGCCTTTGCTCAGCTTGAGAACGAGAGATCTCTGACATCTCTTCGTGACGAGCTAAGGGTAGCTCGTGGGATTGTTGATCGGTCTCGGGCTGAGATAACTGCTCTTCAGACCCTTGTTGATGCCCACCATCGGGAGCACAAGGCTCTCTGCGAGATGCTTGAGCGCAAGGGCGTTCTTCATCGGAAGAAGCAGCGTACTGATGGTACGGCTTAAGCCGACCAACGTAAAACGTGGGATGCGTTCGCATCTTACGTGGTAACTCGATCGTGTATGCATTGCCTAGGCGGTGCAATACACGAAATGGGCCAATGTACTTGGGTAGTAGTTTACTGCTACCCAAGTTAGTCACTACATGTTTTGGTAGATTAACCGTAGACAGTAGGACTAAGTCACCTTTATTAAATAAAAGAGTGTTTGCCCTTCCATTCTTGTCAGCGTTTTGCTTTTGCTTATCCACCGCTTCGGCGATGGAGTCTTGCACAAAACGGACTACCGTTTCACGAGCCAGTATGAACTCATCTGATGACTCGTTAGCTTCAGTGTGCTGTGAGCGCACTGCAGCGACAACAACCTTTTCTTCAGTGAGGGCTTCCGCACTCTCACTGGGATCATTGTCTTCAGTGAGGGCTTCCGCACTCTCACTGGCATCATCTTCTTCGATATCGATGTTATCGATATCGGCATCAAACGCAATGACTTCTTCGTCAGAGCGTGATGAGCGTGAACCAAATCGGTTTTTGCTCGCGCGAGTCCCTCCCCCCTTAAACCAGAGTTACACTCTAGTAAGGTGGGTACACGCGGATGGCGCAAGCCATTCACGTAAAACGGTGTATGTGTCGTGGACGCATGCACCGAGTTGTTGATGGCAAACTCTACCATTGGCAAAAACTCACTCCAACTTTTAAAGGAGTGTACGTATCCTCGAAGTATCTCTTCGAGGACACGGTTGGCACGTTCCGTCTGACCATCTGACTCTGGATGATCAGATGTTGACATCTTCAAGCGCGTTCCGAGTGATTTGAACACGGAACGCCAGAAATCAGCAGTGAATCGTGGATCTCTGTCTGATACGAGTTCACGGGGCAACCCATGAAGTCGGAAGATGGTGTCAATAAAGACACAAGCACAGCCACTTGCCGTGATTGTCTCTGGTACAGCCACAAGGTGTACCATTTTGCTGAATCTGTCAACAAATACGAGAATACCCGTATTCCCGCGTGCGTCTTTGGGTAACCCGAAGACGAAATCCATTGAGATGGATTCCCAGCACTCAGCCGGAACCGGTAGAGGCTGTAAAGGTGCACGCAGTGAAGGACTTGACTTCACTCGTTGGCAGACTTCGCATGCGCGAACATACTTTCGCACAAACTGATACTGGCGGGGCCAGTAAAAGTCTCGACTTACCGTGAGATATGTTTTCTCTCGGCCACGATGTCCTCCTATAGGAGCATCGTGATACTCGAACATGATCCGCAAACGCAGATCAGTATCATCTGGAATGACAACACGTGGTGTGTCACCAGAAACGGCTGTATAGTACAGTAAACCGTTACGAGTAGTGTATCGATCTGATGCAGATCGATACGCAGACGACAATCGTTTCAACGATTCTCGAGATGGTTGGGAGAGATGTGACAACAACTTCACTATCTCACCATCTTGGGCGTATGCCCGCCTCACATCATCATACAACGTTGTAGATGGAACTGAGGACGTCATAACCGCAACAGTGACTGTCTCACTGTTGGGTTTCGCGACTGTTTCAAAGTCGGGACGACGTGAGAGTGCATCAGCGACGACATTAAGTCGTCCTGGTTTGTACTCGACCGTAAAGTTGTATTCTGCAAAGAATGACAACCACCGCGCCATTCGTTGTGAAAGGTGCGGGCTGTTCACTGCCGTGCGTAAGGACGCATGGTCAGTGTAAACAACGAAGGGTCTATCTCCTAATAGATAGACTCTGAACTTCGCGAGTGCATACTTCATGGCAAGGAGTTCCTTGTCATGCACTGGATAGTTCGGCTCAGCTGGTTGCAGCTGACGCGACTGATAGCAGACGACGCGTTCAACGCCTTCAAGGTCGTACTGCATTAATGCACAGCCGATTGCGAAATCGCTGGCACCACAGACCACATGAAATGGCCTGTCCTGATCGGCTATTGCTAGGACTGGGGATTGTATCAAGCTCTGCTTGATACCCTCAAAGGAGCGTTGACATTCAGCGTTCCATAACCACCTCTCGTTCTTTTTCAACAAACGAGAGAGGTGTACAGTCATCTCGGCGTAATTGCGTGAATACTTATGCAAATACGCCGCTAGCCCAAGGAATTTTCGAAGGCCTTAGACATCGACCGGCACGGGCCAGTCGGTGATCGCCTTGATCTTTTCGGGATCAGGACGTACACCGTTCTTACCAACGATGCACCCAAGAAGTGGTATTTCGCTTGCTGCAAATATACACTTCTTGAGGTTTGCATACAATTGATGCTTTCGCATGAT